AAAATGGGATTCAATCTACCACAAGATCCAACAATTCCCCTCTTAGGCAAATACCCAAAAGACACACATTCATAAAATAAGGACATCTGTTCAACTATGTTCATAGCAGCACTATACAAATAGGCAGAACATGGAAGCAACCTAGATGCCCCTGAACTGAAGAGTGGATAGAGAAATGTGGTACATTTACACAATGGAGTACTACTCAGTGGAAAAAACAATGGAATCTTGAAATTTGTAGGCAAATGGATGGTACTAGAAGAAACCATCCTGAGTGAGGTAACCCAGTCTCAAAAAGACAAACTTAGTATGTACTCACTTATATATGTATTTTAGACATGGAGCATGGGATTGCAAGCCTACAATCCACAGTCCCAGAGAGACTGAGAAACAGTGAGGTCCCTAAGACTGACATACATGGCACCCCCCAGAGAATGTGATGGGAACAGGATATTCTGAGTGGATTGGGAGCATGGAGGCAGGGGAGAGGGAGGTGGAAGAAAGAGAGGGGGAGAAGAGGAGGAGATGGGATAGCAGGAAGTTTGAGTCAGGGGAAGAATAGAGGAGAGTAGGATGATGGATAACATAATAGAGGGAGACATTATAGATTTCTGGAGAGATCTGGCACTAGTGAGATTTCCAGAGATCTACAAGGATGACACCAGTTGTCAATCTAAACAATGGTGGGGAGAGCACCTTAAATGCTTTCCTCCATAATGAGAATGATGACTATATTATATGCCATCCTAGAGCCTTCATCCATTGGCTGATTGAAGCAGAGGTAGACACCCACAGCTAAACATTGAACTGAACTCCTGGCCCAGTTGCAGAGAGGGAGGAGTGATGGGCAGGGGGTCAAGAATGGGCTGGTGAAGCCCACAGAAGCAGTTTGACCTGAACAAGGGGAAACTCATGGGCTCCAGATTGATGGTTGAGAGGCCAGCATGGGGCTGATCTAGACCCCCCCACCCAGAGTGTGGATGTCAGTGAGGAGGCTTCGGCCATCTATGGGGCCTCTGTTGGTGAATCAATATATATCCTTAGTGTATGAATGGACTTTGGGAGCCCATTCAATGTGAAAGGATGTGGTCTTGGCCTGGACAAATGGGGGAGGTCCTTGGCCCTGCCCCAGATGTTATAGACTTTGGGGATCCCCCATGGAATGCCTCACCCTCCCTGTGGAGAAGAGGGAAGATGGAATGGGGGGTTGGTGGAGGGTGAGGAAGGAGGTGAAGGTGAGGGAGCTGGGACTGACATATGAAGCAGGCTTGTTTCTAATTTAAATAAAAGATAAAAAATAAATGAACACTGCCTTTCAGAGGAGGCAGGGAAAGGCATAAGGGAGTAGAGAGAAAAAGAGATTGAAAAAGATGAGTGCTTTGTCCCATGTAGAACAATACTGATATTTTTATCTTGGCCTGAGATGTATGGTTTACTTAATTTTGTCTATCTAACTAACAATGTGGAGGGAGAGAGATGGGGGCGGGAGTTCTGTAAAGACAGTAAGAAGCCTTACAGTGTAGAATATTTATACCTTCAACCGTATCTAAGGAGGTCAAGACAAAGAAAGCATTTAAATGCAAGAGAGGGGAGGCACCGGGTGGTGGTGGCACACTCCTTTAATCTCAGCACTTGGAAGAAGGTAGAGGCAGGTAGGATCTCTGTGAGTTAGAGGTCAACCTGGTCTACAGACCAAGTTCCTGGACAGCCAGGCCTACACAGAGAAACCCTGTCTCAAAAAAAATAAAAAAGAAAGGGACAAAAGAGAGAAATAAAAGAAAGCTGATGACAAGGCCCTGTAGCAGGAGTTCATGCCCTGGTCACGAATGGAACATTAACAGCATATTAGATAAGTATTCTTGAGCATCTGCACAGCTGTCCCGTAACTCGTGGAGCAAGCTCTGGTTTGGAAAGTTCTTAGAAATATCTCTTATTATGGACATCTGCTTGTGAATGTCCTCCAGAAAGGGTTTGTAATGGTTCCTACATGTATGGGTGCAGAAAGTCATGCTTCTCTCCTGGCTTCTAGCTCTATACATGCACACACATCTGTTATGGTTTTGCATATGTGACTCCATTTTGACTCAGCTTCTCATAATTATCTCTTTCTGAATGGATGTGGGGAGAAAGGAGGAAAGAAAAGAAAAAGAAGACAGGGGAACCTGGAGCTTTGTCAACAACTTGGATGATTTCAAGGATGCCCAGGGTTCTCTGGGGTGTGGTAGATGCTTTTCTTCAAGTATTAGAGCAGCACGTCTACTTCACAAATGAAACTTCCTTCGAACTGCTGCACACATTGGCTCTGTTCTTCCTAATCTCTGTCACACAACAACATAGTCTCTTTATTTTACAATAGAGGCGACTGAGAAAATAGAAATATATTGACTTGTTGAGGTCTGTTGTAGTTTGTGGGGTAATGGGCCTGGCAGAAATGAGGATATTTTAAAGAGACACTTTTGTCTCTCAGTCTGATTCTCAGGTCATTGAAACAGTGGGCCCCAAATGGAAAATCTCCCCAGGAACTCCATGATGGAAGAAGGAAAGGGCAATGACAAGAGGGGGGCCTTGTCTCCCTGAAAGAGATTTCACACAGTTGTAACAACCTCTCAGGGGACAAGACTGAAGCCCACACAATGGGTTAATGATGGGCAAGGGCTGGGTAAGGGTGGGTGGGATGAAGGGAGAATGGTTCATTGGATCTCCTTATCTCTCTTCTCATTGTGGCTACATGGAATATACCCATTTTCTGCATTCCACTTTTAATTTAGCTTTTTAAATTCACTTCTTGAGGACTGGTGGTTTGACCTGACTTAGGGCACAAGTTGTGACTCCTGCATTCACTAACAGGAAGTGGAGCATGACTGGAACCTAAGGCATTTGGTTCTTATACAAGGACTAGGTCTCTCCCATAACAGATTCTCAGATTCCGGTTTTTTTCCCTCAAGAGTTTTAGTCTAGATTTTATTCCTCTAATCTGCAGCAATTTGGCATTATCCTCAGCTGTTCCCACCAGCTGCTCTTATTTCTATCATTCATTATGTGGCCGGTTTGCAGGAAACAGCTGCTTGCTCCCGCCACCACCAGTCTCTTTCTGGCTCTGTGTTCTTTTGGTTTGTTTCCATGCGTAATGACAATGAGTTTATTAACACACCCCTTCAGCGTGCTCCAGACTCAAACACTAATTACAAATTTATACTATTCACACCATATTGATGTTCATGGATACAAGGATACATGTGTAAGATTTAGAGATCTGTGTCATTCATACACTGTGGCCACACCTGAGGGGATTCCCTTGCCTCCATTTTATGGAAAGCTGTCCTTTGCTAGATGTCTTTTGTTGCATGAGCTTGAGTCTGTTCAAAACCTGATGCCCTTCCACTGTGAAACTTGACAATAAATTGCTGCTGAATACTTAAAGTTTGCAAAAGCCCTCCTCAACAAATTTACTTTATCAAGGAAATAACCTATAAATTATAAAAGTATAATTGCTTATTTATGTACAGTACTTTTTGCTCAAAATTTCAAAATTTAACCCTAAGGCAGAAACCAACAGAGAGATGCCTGGGACCCATAAGGCTAAGTTCTTTGTTTTGTGACCAGCTGTCTACATCAGTTGCAGTCTGTCTCTTGAGTCCATGGAGGACACGGGCAGAGAAACAATGTTGCTCATTATTGAACTTGAAGCATAACCTCAATGCATTCCTTTTTTGATGATTTGAGTGAAACCAAGACTCTTTCTATTAGAGGAGGTACTTCCATGACTGGAGGCAATTTAGAGTCACATTTGTTCCAGAATCTTACTCTTCTAATGGCATGAAGAAACCAAGGGGAAGCCTCTTAAGGAAAGAGTGTTTGTACCCCAGACCAAGAGCCTCTAGCCTATAATAAGTAGAAAGTGACAACAATGAGCAGTGCTCAGAGGCTAAACAACTTGTTTCAAACACACCTATATAGAGTCACTGTTTTACCCTACTGTTGATAGCCTGATTTTTAAATAGCTAGAGAGATTATGAGAGTATAAAAGTATGAGATCTATTTGAGAGACCCTGTAAGAACAAATTGGGTAACACAAGGTGGTTGCTTAGTCAATTGGTTGCTGTTGCAGAACACAAGGAGAAACACACTGATACTTTCTCCACAAAACTTCTCAAGAAATTTGTCTAAAAATGCATGTATAAATATGTATTATGAATACACATTCATATATATTTATGATAGGGCATTCAAATTATTCATGGTATATCATGAAACTACTCATTCTAGAAGTAACTCTATTACATTAAGATTTGCCTTATAGTCTCACAAATTTAACCTTGCTAACAAACATTGATGTAACTAGTGATCAATGGAGTATAAAATGGCCCCAAACAGTTTGGTGCTTATCTCAGAACATTCAGTATCTCCATAAATATGGAGATGCTCTAGTTACCTGGATGAAGCCTGCCTTTAACACAGACGAGCATCTTTAGCAATGTTCATTTATTTCATGCTTACAAGCTTACTCTAACAGAAAATGCTACCATCATTGACCTATTATGTGATGTTGCCACATTACTATAGGAAAACTGAATAGATACTGTTTCACAGAGGTGAAAAACTTCCTCTGGTTTCTCCTCCTGGTCTTTTCCTAGCTTATGTTTGCAACTGTGTCCTACAGCTATACTATTTCTTCAAACACTTAGAAAGTCAGACATCATTTACCCAGAAGCATTGAAGTAGAAATGAGAACATGATGTAAAATCACCCACAAGGCATCCTGAATAATGTTCTATTATGGGAAACAAAGATGAAATTAGGAAAATGTCTAGAGGAATATCAGTTTGAATTGAAAATCTTCCAGCAGAAATAGTGGACATAATGTTAAAATTTTATAAAGTGGAGTGATGTATCCACAGGTGTTTAACATGGTGCTTTGTCTTCCCATCAATGTTCAAAATATTACACAGAAAAACAAACAAGTATTCCATACTGTTATAGAATTAACAGTGCAACAAACACTATTTATTTAAAGTTTTTGTATTAGTAACCAATATAGAGGAAAGTAATTGTTTACCAGACCAAGATTTAAAAAGTGACATTTTCCGAATCTTTTCATTGACCTCAATGAAGTCATAATGCCATACACAGATGAAATAATTGGACACACACACACACACACAGACAGACAGACAGACAGAGCTGCTTTCATGGCAATGGGCAGGAAGCACTGAACTGTACAGATTGTTAAGTCATAGAGCCCAGGTTACACGGCGTGCTTGGACATGTGGCTTGTTCATGTTACCCTCCTTTGAGGATATGGAGTGTACATGGACAATGCTTCGAGGCATTGTGGTTCTCTCTGGAAGTGAAATAACTTGGATTGAACTCCCAGACAACCTTCTTCCTCTAATTTCTCCATGTGGTATACAGAATCTCATGCAGGCACATCTGTTTGTGCACTGTATGAAACAGAAGATACCTAGGGACAGAGAAATAGGAGAGCAGGGTTAGTGTAACATGAAGAGGTATGGGACCACTTCCTCCTAAACCCTTAGAAGACTCTCACCACTGAGCCCTGTGAATGCTTCCCAACTACTATCTGGAGCCATCCTGGAGAAGAATGATGTAGTCAGAGGGAGTGGAATTGTCTACAGTAATTTCAGTGATTCTCAGCTCCCTGTGGGGGGTTCATTCTGGAAGAAGATGTACTTCTACATGGGTTCTGTGGGGAGGTGCAATTCTTATAAACATTTCAGGAGAAGGGGACCTCTTGTTTTGGTGGGTCTTTATAGTATCAGATCTGATGCTGGCTGTCTTGTAACTGCTTTGGCACCATTGTGTTTTCCTTGGCTCCCTGGTTCTCACTAACATAAGTGGCCCTTGTTCTCAGTCACTATCCTTGGTGGTGACCTTCATGGTTTATCTCTGCCTTAAAGTTGGAAAGGCACTAAAAGTACTGAAAAGGAGAAGAAAAGTAGTGCTCTTGGAGGCAGGGATAGCCTACCGCACCCAATTTCAGCTTTCTGCTTCTAAGAATTGTATTTAGATAGTCTAGGTGACTTTTTCATTATTTCATACTTCTTTCTGTGCAGACTGACTGATTCCTCTCTCTCTTCTAGGGCCCTGGGGATACTCACCACAAGTAAAAAGGAATGCGATGGCTAAGTAGGAAGTGAAAACGATCCACTTGATCTTATAATGAACAAAGTATGTACGTTGACCTTTATTTAGCTTGTAATGATACATAGTGATTGCACAGAACATGAGGCAACCTAGTGTCCAAAAGAACAAATTTTTTTCTCAAGAACGTTAAATTCGTTACCATCACTCACCTTATTTCCCAACCTCTGCCTTCTAGCACAGCTATTTTATAGAGTGACTGTAAGTTAGTGGTAGATCTAATTCAGAAACAATATATACCCTTGAATCATAGAATTGGGAAGGCTAGCTATTTAAAGATTACAGAAGGGACACAACAAGACCATTGCTACTTTCATCTATATCAGTGGAGCCAAGAAGTTACCTGTGAAGAAACTCAGGAAGCCAATAAAGAGGTGCATACACTTATTTTGAGAAATCATATAGGTGAACTGCAGACCTAAGATCAAATTGAGATATATGGAAACGTTGAGACACATCATCATCATACCCCTGATTGTCTTCAGGCTCTCTGTTGGGAAGCAGAAGCTGCACTGAGAGAAAGATACTTCTTCCACACTCATTTACACAATTGTCTAGGTCAAACATTCATGGTGGCCTAGAAATCTCAGAATACAAGAGAAAAGGAGTAAAGAATGAAGAGGCAGCGTACTTGAGATAATGGAGCAAACCAGAAGAAACTTAGTGTCTTTAAAAGTTTTTTCTTTTTTATAACTTATAGGTTAAGTACCTTACTCCACCCATCCTCTTCTAGGGATGCTAAAATCCATTTACATTTTGGTCAGTCATTTTTTTTAACCCTTCATGTCCAGTTGTGCTGATTACCCTACTGCTACTTCCGAGGTTTATCAACAGTTCAGTGCTTAAACCAATGAGCTCCTAATATTTTCTCCCAAAATCTAAATGGTAAATTTTTAGTTTCCCTCCACTACATTGTGTATGTAAATGGGATTACTGTTGCCTGAGAAAGTTGCTTCCTGGAATAATGGGCAAGTTGATTAGATGATGAAAGTCAAGGAACCATGAAAATTTCCTCTCTACCCATCACTTTCCATAGTACAGTTCTGACCTTCAGGCCATAAAGTAGGGCAGCAACCCAGCCACGGGCTGTGGGTAATCTTATCCTTTCTCACTTTAGGAATCAGTTCCACCCAGTTTTCCATGATGAGTCCAACTATCATCATGACTATGGCCCCAGAGGAGAAGACTATGTTGACAGCCTGGATAATCCTGGGTTGGATGTGCATCATTGTCGATGAAAATCTCTACCCGAGAATACCACCAATGTCTCCTACGTCTTTTCTCGGATCAGACACAAGATGAAGGGTAGAATCTCAATTTTCATTGACTGGGGAGGCGCTGCCAAAGACTTCAGTGGTGGGAGGTGCTGATGTAACCTGTAGAGCGCGAGAGATAACTCCCTCCCTTTACCATTCTAATATAAAGGGCAGGCTGTTGTCAGAGCAACAAACTGTCATAGAATCCTCTGTCTGTTGGTTTGACCCTTGACCTTGGGACATAAGGCATCAGAGCAACCAAGCTATGCAAAAGTTCTTTGAGAGAGCTATAATGTGGCAAGGTCTGATATAGGAAGAGATATTAGAAACAAACTCTAAGGCTTTTGACAGGTATAGCTAACGAAGTTCCATATTGCAATCACAATGATGGGTGCTGAGGATAGTTGACACTGGGTGAAGTTAGTGAGGAGGAGAATCCTTAGGTATCTTGGATAAGTGCTCAGTTAGTTGCCACCATAAAAAGGAATGGTCATTAGAAATTTTGGATATGTTATAGAAACTCAGGTCTTCAATGTGGTTTCTCAAAGAAACCTATTTAATTAGGCTTCTAGGGAGACTAAAGCTCTGAAACTCAAAAAGAAAAAAATGTTCTGGTACACTGGGTTACTTCAGTCCACTATCTTCCATAAGGCATAAGAATCATTTCTTGTCAGAATTGCCTTTGTATTGTGTCAGAAAAAACATGGTCCAGAGTCCTTGGGGAGAAGAAAACCATAGTATGCACTAGGTTTGGATCCAGAGGGATGTTTGAAAACTCTGTAAATGCTTTTTGCTGGGAGCTAAGAAGAAAACTGTCTCCAAATACTTTTCCTTCTATTCTTCCCTTTTATTGAAAATGTTCTTCTCTCATTGACTATATCCTGATTATAGTTTCACTGCCTCTACTCATCCCAGTTACCTCCCATTTTCCTCCCCTCAGAATTCACTCCCTTAAGATGAAGGAAAATCTATTGTATTAAAGTTGGACACAGCAACCCAACAGGAGGAAAAGAGTTCTAAGAGCAGGCACAGGATTCAAAGACCCACTTGTTCTCACAGTCAGGAGGCCCATAAAAATTCCAATCTAGTAGCTGTCATATGAATGCAGCAGACCTGGTGTAGACCCATGTTGGCTCTCACCCACACAACTTTCCCTCTATTTTTTTTTTTATCACAGGATACTTTTTTGGGTCCAAAAAGAGCTTCTTTAATTGCTTCAAATATATTGTTTTCTCTCCAGATATCAAATGATATTAATGTATTTCCCTTATAGTTTTAATTTTGAAAAGGTAACACTTGAGAATAGATTTTGTCCTACAAGTAAGGCTTTATGGTTAAGAGAGCAGACTTAGTATCTGAAGTTCAAATCTTGGCTGTACTACTCAGAAACGATGCTGTCTTAGAGGTAATGGTTTGTTATGACAAGGATTTTATAACAAATATTCTACATCAAAAAGACTTCCCATGTAGCACACTTGAGGGAATGTCTGACAAATGGTCAATGATACCTCAGCAATTGCCACCATGTTCCCTTGGGTTCTTTAAGAGAGGCAGTATACTGGGAAGTACTCCAGGGAAGCACCTATGTGGCTTTTAAGGGAAGAGGGTCTGAGCAGAATTTGAATGGAAATGTAGTTGCAATAGATGAAACTTATGGTACCAGGAACTCTGTAAACAGAGTTTAATTGGCCATTCTAACAGAAGCCTAGAAGACAGTGTTTAGAGTAATGTGGACTCTGGAGGCGGGGCACAAGACATTTCAAAGAGGAACAGTGTCAGAAACTGGGCTAGAGCTAACAGTTTGGCTTAGAACCTGGAAGCTTCCTGCCTGTGTCATTAGAACTTACCTTAACCCAAAGTAAAAAGCAATGTCCTAATTTCTTTGGTGGAGGACATTTTAAGACTGCGTAATTTTGAATATGTGGATTGTTTATTCCTGATAACTCTTATGCAGGTCATATTGAAAAAGAATAAGTGGGACACAGGACTATAAAATGCACAGTTTGGAGAGAAAAAGAGATTAAAAAAATGTTGCAGCCAAGGCATGTACTGAAAGAGAGACTATAAGTGTTAAAATGATTTCTGCCATTAAGGAGAGGCTTCATATTCTATATTAAAACAACAGAAAGGGTTCTCAGGACAAGACCCTCATCTAGCTAAGTTTTCAACTTTTTTTTCTGGTTTAGAAAGCAACTGCATACAAAACTGCTGCTAAGTCAGTTCAAGTGGGAGCGAGTTCATTCCAAGCTGGTGGCTGAATTTGGCAGTATGGTATGCCTTTCAAGGCACAGAAAAATGCAAGATTGAAGGAGTCATGGATTCTTTCTCCATGGTTTAATAGCTACTGAGGCTAGGTAATATGCTGCAGTGTTGGAGTCATGGCAAGAAGGGCCTAGGAAGCCATTGATTGAAACTGTGAAAGTGAGGTCTGATTTTGGCAGAGACCCTCACCCCATCCCAAGTTACTAGAGATGTAAAAGATATAAGATATCTTCCAAGGAAAGATGTGTAAAGGTAGTAGGATCAGCCTAAGATAGAGGCAGTCAGAAAATGTTAAAGGTTGCAAAGTTGGACAAGTGGAGTAAATCTAAACTTTGAAACTAAAGTCCTAGATGTTACATGTGGGGCTATACGCCCTTTTGTTTGCTGGGTTTCAGTTTTGTTTTGGTTCAATATTTCCCTCCACTCATTTCTTTTGGAATGGGAATTGCAATTCTGTGGCACTTTATAATGAAAGTTTATAATTAAAAAAAGAAGTGTAGAGGTGAGTCTCAGTTAAGAAATTGCCTTGAGTCTCACAGACTTTAGGCTTTTAAACAGTATTGAAATTGATAGAGATGGGTCTTTTAAAGTGGGCTACATGCATTCGTCATTGCTGCATGACCATGAGCCTGTGGGTGGCAGGGAGTGGAATGTGGTGGTTTAACTGAGAAATGTCCTCCACTGGCACATGCGTTTGAACATTAGGTCATCAGGTGGTGGTGCTGTCTGGGGAAAGCTATGGAACCTTTAAGAGGTTCATCTTTGAGAGTTATAGCTTTGCCTCCCTTTCAGTGGTCTCTCTACTTTGTCTGTGTGCTTGAGGATGCGGTCTTTCAACTTCCAGCTCTGGCCACATACTGCCATGCTACTCCCATTATTATGAACTCTCCCTCTGCTACCACAAGTCAAAAACCAATTCTTTCTTGCACAAATTGCTTCTGGTCATAACAGAAAAAAACAATCAATATAGAGCCTATAAGGCATAAAATTGACAAGAAGCCTAGGGATGTCTTTTAAAACTGAGGAGTGTATGTCATCATACAGTGACATGAAGATTGTGACCAATAGTAGAGTGAATTCTGAAGAATGTCCGCATTTATGAAAAACTGAAGAATGTCTGCATTTATGAAAAACTGAAGAGAATGAATGGCCAGGGATATATAAAGAGATGTTGTGTTGTTGAAGAATTATAAAGATGCTACAATTTAATCTCTTTTCTATTTTTCAGATTTTTATTGCTATACAATCATGGATATTTAGGGGGAACTGAGTCCGAATTTGCCATATGCATACAATGTGTTATATCCAATTTGTGACAATTGACATTTCCATTTCATTACTTCTTTGTGCTGGGAACCTCTGGACTCCACTCTTCCGTTTATTTTCAGAAGCTACAAGGATTGAGCAGTATCTTACGTTGTCACAGAAAATTGCCAAATCAAGTGGAAGTTGACTGCAGATCACTGAATTTGGCATTTGGAATGTCACCAATGATTTTTTGATAGCATTTTAAGTAGAGTTATAGGGAAGAGGGAAGTCTAAGTTGAGGCACTTTCTGTTTTTTTTTATTCTTTTTTTTTTAAATTTAGATAAGAAACAAGGTTGCTTCACAAGTCAGTTCCAGGTCCCTCTCCCTTTCCCTCCCCTCCTCCCGTGCCCTCCCCCCATCCCCCCCCCCGTTATCCCCTCGTTCCCCCAGGGAGGGTGAGGCCCTCCATGGGGGTGTCCATAGTCTGTCATTTCATATAGGGCAGGGCCTAGACCCTTCCCCAAGAGTTCAGGGTGAGAGTGCACCTCACATTGTTCTATGGGAGTCCAAAGTCCGTGTGTATACTTGGGATGGGTACTGATCTGCTGCCCAAGGCTCAATAGATTACCTAGGCCTCCTCACTGACACCCAGATTCAGGGGGTCTTGATCAGTCCCATGCTGGATTCCCAGGCTGATGCCTGGGATTCAAGAGTTAACCTTTGTCTGGTCAGCTGTTTCTGGGGGTTAAACCAGCCCAGTTTTAATCCCTTTGATCATCAGTCCTCCCTCTCTGATACTGGCTTTCTTGAGTTCAGCTCAGTACTTAACCAGCCACTAAATGTAGTTTCTGTTTCCCAGACTGTCTGGCCATAGGATTGTAGGCTGGCACTCCCCAGATCTATGTCTAAAATCCATATATGAGAGAGTACATGCCATGTTTCTCTTTTTGTGACTGGGTTACCTCACTCAGGATGGTTTCTTCTAGTGTCATCCATTTGCCTGCGAATCTCATGATTCCATTATTTTTTTCTGCTGAATAGTACTCCATTGTGTAGATGTACCACATTTTCTCTATCCACTCTTCAGGTGAGGGACATCTAGGTTGCTTCCAAGTTCTGGCTATTACAAATAAAGCTGCTATGAACATAGTGGAACAGACCTCTTTGTTGTATGAATGGGCATCTTTTGGGTATATGCCTAAGAGTGGAGTTGCTGGGTCTTGTGGTAGGTGTATTCCCATTTTTCTGAGGAATCTCCACACTGATTTCCAAAGTGGCTGAACCAGTTGGCACTCCCACCAGCAATGGAGGAGTGTCCCCCTTTCACCACATCCTCTCCAGCATAAATTGTCATTGGTGTTTTTGATTTTAGCCATTCTGACAGGAGTGAGATGGTATCTCAGAGTTGTTTTGATTTGCATTTCCCGGATGGCTAAGGATGTTGAGCACTTTCTCAAGTGCCTCTCAGCCATTTTAGACTCCTCTATTGTAAACTCTCTATTTAGTTCTGCAGCCCACTTTTTAATTGGGTCCTTTGGTGTTTTGGAGACTTGCTTCTTGAGTTCTTTGTAAATTTTGGAGATCAACCCTCTGTCAGATGTGGGATTAGTGAATATTTTTCCCCATTCTGTGGGCTGCCTTTTTGTCTTGCTG